GACACAGTAACAAGGGCAGCGACAGCAGCACGCGGCTCTCCTCACCAGCACCCAGCAGAGCCTGACCTGGCCGGGGTCAGGAGGCCGGTGGACCAGCAGGGAGCGATCTTCCTTCCCGGGGCTGGATTTTCCACAGCACTGCCCCAGGTACAGGGACCAGGGTCGCTGATCTGTAGGAGGCGCCGTCCTGCACGCAAATGCGAATCTCAGGACCTGCCTGCTTGGCTGGTGAGATGAACAGAGGCGTGAAAGGGACAAGCTGGGCCTACAGCTCCCCCTTCAGGTGCCGGCACGGAACTGCATGCAGGCGGGGAAAACTCCTTCACAGGGAGAGTTGTGGGTGAGGGGAGCCAGACCAGCTCGCTGCTCTTTCAGGAAAAGACGGGCTGGCCACAGGGGCGCTGAAATTCAATAACAACACGCTCTTCTGTTTCTTGTGCCCTCCCGCGTGGGGGGCTCCACAGCGTTCAGGCAAACGAGCGAGCAGGGACGCCACGGCACCCCCGAGCGCCCGGGAAACTGCGGATTTCCCCACAGCTGCCGCGGAAGAAAAGCACGCGTGTCGCACCTGCCTGTAGCCGCCAACAACAACAACAACAACAGCAGCAGCATCACCAGCAGCAACAGCATCAGCAACATCAACAACACCACCAGCAGCAGCATCACCGGCCAGCCGGCACCGACAGCCCAGACCGCCCCCTCGTCCGTCCTCCTCCACCGGGCTGATCAGCAGCAGATTTTACGCGCGGTCTTAACGAGCCCGCAGCCCCCCCTGCTAGCTGATCAACACAGCCGTTTCACCGTAACCCGCCCCTCCACACACACACACACACTCTCTCTCCCCTCCAGAGTCGGCGCAGCTGCTCGGTGTTTACCGCTCCGGTCCGCAGTGAGCGGGCCGCCCAACCGAGCCCGGCCCACGCCGATGCTACAACCCCACCCCAGCCCCTCGGAACCGGGCCGCGGGGCGGGAGACTCTCTCCAACGGGAGCCGGGCCTTGCCGGAGAGCGGAGACTGTGAGGTCAGCGGTCCGCAGCGATCACGGCGCCGGGCGGGGGAGGGGGAGCAGGGGCCGGGTGACTGAGAGGCGCCCCCCCGGATTTTACCGGTCACGCCGCGCGCCAGACTAGACATCCCGACCGCCTCCCCGAGACTCGCAGGCAGAGCCCAGGCGCGGCGGAGCCACATGGGCGAGTCGTAAATGAACCCCACCGCCGTTTCCCTGCAAGAGGGGTCCTGCGGGGCTCTGTTCCCCCCCTCTCTCTCTCTCTCTCCCTCTCTCCTCCGGCTGGCGTCTGCTGTAACTCCCTCCCTCCGCCAACCCGAGACTCCGAGCAAACGCGGCTACCGTACCGTCAGAGTCTCCTTATTCGGGCTCCTCCGACTGCGGCGCGGTCAGTCCGTGCGGCCTCTGCATCGCCGCCTCGCTGTCATCACTAGCGGCGCGGCGGCTGGGACCTTCCCGGGAGACAAGCCGGTGATCCAGGCTCCGGCGGCCACGCCCACCCGCCCGGTGAAAGCCGCCCCCGCCCCGCCCCCGGGGGGCGTGTCCGCCGCGCTCGCCGCTCGGTGGTTGGCCACGGCTGGCGTCCGGGCAGGCGGAGAGCCCGCCCCCTTTCCACGCCCCCCAGGCCGGCCCTCCTCACAGTCTGGCTCGGCGTGTGCGTGTGTGTGTGTGAGATTGTGTGAGCGCGTCTCCCTGCTCAGACGTGCTGTAACGCTGTGAATTCGCGTTTCTATTTCGTTTTTTTTTATCACCATGGCTAATATCGGAAGAAGAGTCCTGGGCTGCAGGGACTGGTCTGTTTCCACCTGTGCACTGCGTGTTGTTATTATTTAGCTAGGAGGAAAGTTCTAGAAAAAAAGCCTGCAACCTGTCCACATTGCTCCCATCTGCCCCTCCTCGCTATCCCGAGACTCCGGCGACGGACAGGCGTCAATCCCAGAGATCCGTCCGTCCCCTCTCATCTGGACCCCCCCCCAGATCCAGCCCTGTCCCCAGGCGTCTGGGAGAGCAAATGCGGTGAGTTACAAGGCCCGACATGTGACCACAGTGGGTCCGCAACTGTTCATCCAGCTGTGTCTTGAAAGAAACTGTGTGTCTGGGCAGCTTGTTCCACACTCCCACCACCCTTAGTGTACAGTCGTGCCTCCCGTCCTGACTCAGAACCCAGGGCATCTGCTTCAACAGCTTGGCTGGGCAGCTGGCTTCACTCTC